ACCATGACATGACCTCACATAGGGGACCTCACATAGGGGACCTCACATGGCTTCATAAATATGAGGTGTGTGGGGACGCCTGGGGGGCTCAGTCAGTTGAGCGCCTGACTCTTGATTTCGGCTCAGGTCACCATCTCAGAGTCATGGGATCTAGCCCCGTGTCAGGCTCCACGCTCAGCATAGAGCCTGCCTGACAGTTTCTTCTCCCTCTGCCCCTCCCTGCACTCAGCCTCTCTCTAAAATAAACAAATAGAATCTTAAAAAAAACAAAAAACAAAAACAAGATGTTTGTTCGCTACTTTGCATCCCGTCCTTTCCCCATGACAAAGCATTGGTGATGCCTCCAGGTCGCCGGCACCATCACAAGCCACTCGAACAGCCGCACGTTGGCTCTTGATGGAACATTCTATTAACACGGAGGCGGGGAGGTGCGACGTCCTCCCTGCTGTGGAGGCATCAGAGCCCATGCACTCTGTGGCGTTAGGCCCATTAACACTTCCGTTTTCTGTTACGTCAGCGACAAATCAGGCTGGAAATAGTGTTTTACTTAATCTTGCTTTCCGATTTTTGGAATTCCACGATGCAGATCCTCGTGGGTGTACCGACAAGTCCGGGTCTGCCTTTCTGGACGAATGGGGACACCACACTGTCTTGACCACGGGAGCTTCACGGGGACCCACTCTGTGCTGTGCAAAGTCTCTCCTACCCTGTTTTCTAACTTTCTCGACTACACTCAGAACGTACTGTTCTAAAATTAACCTGAAGATAATTTTAAGGAGATGGTTCCTAACAGAAGAGCGTAGGGTCAGATGGAGTAAGGACCACTATTGCCAGCCAGCCACAGCTGGCGTGACCGGTGCTCTGGGTCAAGGGGGTCCCACAAACCAGCCGGTGGGGGACCCCATGGGGTCGGCACTCAGTGGGAGGGATTCGGGCCTGTTTCCCACTCAAGGAGCACAAAGCGTGTTGTTTCCCCACCCCAGGGTTGTGGCTGGCCAAGCCCCTCACCGTTGACCAACGGGTGGGGACCCCATATCATAGTCCCTCCCACAGAGAAGAGCCAGCAGAGCGAGGCCTGGGACATCCCTCCATGACCCAGCCCAGCCACCCCAGGTACCATGGAGAGGGGTTCCACGGAGGCCCTGCTGGGGCGCGGGCCAGGGCAGACCGGCAGAGGGAAGGCGGGTGCAGCCATGAGCTCCGGGGAGAGACCCTAGACCACAACACCCCCTCCCAGAGGCCCTCGGGAAGATGGGGAAAAGGCACCCTGCTCTTCTCACTAAATGAGCTGAGCCGCAGATCGGCATCTGCTGGCGATAACTGCCGTCACTGTTTAAACGTTCCTCGGAATGTTCATTTTTAGCATGGGTAATTTTGAATCATTTTCAAATCAACCTTTCCTGGCAATGAGCAGATATGATTTGCTCCCACAAAGTCACCCACAGACTGTCCGAATCTGGTGTCACCTACACCGAGTGCTGACAGATTTGTATCATAAATGCTCTGTGATGGGTTTTTTTAGCTCCCTGGACCGAGCTGCCTCCCTTCCTCCCCGTCCTGCCAACATCCCAAACCCAACTTCCTGCCCACACCCACCACCAAGCAGCCCCTTCCACATCACAGAGGCCCAAAGCATGGACCTCGTTCTCTGCGTGCAAAGGACCCAGAGGAGCCGTCTGGAGGTTGGGCCCCAGCCCCAGCTTTAGGATCTGGAGAGCAGAGCAAAACCTGGGGCTCCCCTGCCCCGGATGACCTTGGGCAAATCCCCTGAAATGGTAGGATGGCTGTCCTGCCCACACCAGCACTCACACGTGGTCTGCTCCTCTGTGTCTGTGACATCCCCTCTGCCCCTGACATTTGGGTCTGAAGCCCGGGCTTTGAGCCCTGGCACTTTTCCCAAGAGCCCCCCGGCCCCTTGCTGCTGTGTTCCCCTGCTCCTTCCTCCCAGGCCCATGAGGCTGCAGCCTCCTCCCCGCAGTCGCTCACCGGCACCCGTCTCCAGGAGACCCTGTGGGCTGTGCCCTGCCTCACACCACCCCCTGTGGCTTCCAGGGAGCCCTCGCCACGCAGGACAGAAGGTGCTCTCAAGTGTGGAGCGCCAGCCTTCCCTCTCAGGGTCCTGAGCACGGGGATGTGTCTGCTGCTTTGCTCCCAAGGCCCAGACCAGTGCCTTAAAGGCCTTGGGTGGTCCTCTCGAACCCAATTCTTCATTGTCGGATGAATGAATGACCCCAGCCCATCCCCCTCTCTGGGCCTTGCTGTCTCCACTCAGCCACCACAGCCTCAGACTGTCCCCACCCTATTGGCACATTCATTCTGTAGGTAGCAGCCTGGTGCGTTTCCCGCTGGGACAGCTGAGGTGGGTCGATGACTCCCATGTGGTGCCCAGAGGACACGATGGAGGCACGTGGGCTGAGGCTCTGGCAGGACAGGCGGAGATGGAGGCACAGGCCTCACGGCGGCGGGGCCTGCCACTCCCCCAGCCCAACAAAGGTCTGTGCAGAATAGGACAAGAAGGGAGGAGGAGAACCTGGGAACGAGTGAGATTTCGGAGGGCGCCCCATGCAGCCCAGGTAACTGAGGGCCTCTCTCCACTTCCAGCCACTCTGGAACCTTCTACTTCACCCCCCCCCCCGGTGTGCCCACAGCACTGGCACCAGCCCACCACCTGATCTCCCTGTAGCTAACGGTACAAAGCCACAAAACACACCCCGACTTGGGCAGCACCAGGCAGAAGAGCGGGGGGACAGGAGAGAAAGGGGGTGACAGAGGGCCCGGGGGCAGGAACCAGATGGGAAGGGGTACCTGGCATCTGAGGGGCAGCTGCTGCCCACACGTCACTCTCACTGGGACCGCCTGGGGGTCGCAGCTGCCTGAACACAGATGTTCCCCCCAGGGCACAAGGCAAGCTGAGGGCTCACGCCTCTCAAGCCCGAGACAGCACCGCGCGTCCGAAGCTCCGCATGCTCTCACTCAAAAGCCTCCTGACCTGCAGGAGCCCAGTTGCACTCTACTCCCGTCGGGGACCCCGAGTGATGGGCCCTGGGACGTTGGCGCACCTGGGACTGCGGCGCACCTGGGACGGCGGCGCACCCCCATCTCCTGGAGCTCCACCCCCCGCAGAGTGAAGGGACCCACCAGCTCTGACCTGTGCACAGTGCTGGCGTGTCTGCGTGCAGAGCGGGAGGGGCCGCAGTCTGCCCCCACACCCCCCTCCTCCTGGGGGTCCTGGAACTCCCCTCTGCAGTCTCTACAAGCAATTCACAGTCCAGACGCAAAACCCATGGCACACACAGCACAGGAAGGAGCCTCCCGTGCTCGCCGCCTCTCCCGGGGACACCCCAAGCCCAGGCCCGACTGCTGCAGCTGCACCTGCTGCTCCTTGGCCTGCGGCACTCTCCCCTGCCTGTCCCCCGGTCGCACCACCAGGTTGCTCCTTCTCGCTGCACCTGCCACATCACTCCCTTCAATCGTTCTTCACCTGCTGCTGCTTGAAACAACCCTGTTTGCTAAGCTGTAGCCTGTCTTTCCCACTAGGATACAAACGCCTCAAAATCAAAAGTCACTGCTTTTCTTGTTACCAGCTGACCGCCCAGGCTAGGTGTTGAAAAGTACTCGTTGAACGGCCGTGGAGGAGAAATCAATGCTTGTGTGACGACCCTGGGGGCCACTAGGAGTCGCGCCCCACCAGCCCCACAGTCCTGCACACATCAGGGGCTCGGGTCCTCTGGACCATGGGACCCAGGGCAGGGGGTCTGTCTGGAAACAGACGGGCCCCGTAGGGTTGATGTGCCAAGGGAGGGACGTGGTGGAGCCAGTCGGGACAGCAGAGGGCTTGTGACCTCCAGACCCCAGGTCATTTCCATGCACAGCACAGGGGCTCAGGGCACCTGCTGCTGTGACTCAGGAGGCTCTGTGGAAGGGAAAAGCCTCTGGCTCCCTACTCTCTGCAGCCCAGCATCACCAAACCCACAGATCTCTAAGAGGAGTCGGAAACTCAGAGTTATAAAAAAGATTTTTCAATTTCTAAACACAGTTTGGGATGAAATGGGATGTGTCTGTACAGGTGCTTTGCTTTCCAGGGACCTTCAGAGACCCCTGGGCTGACCCCCATCTCCTCTCCAACCTCCTGACTTTAGCACAGAATTTCATGTTCCACTGGGGTCTGGAAGCCCATCAAGTCATACCCACGCAGGGGCCAGGGACCCATCAGAGCTGAGAAGGTCCCACCCTGGGGCATTGGCATTTTTAAAGAGTACTTTTTCGGGCGCCTGGGTGGCTCAGTGGGTTAAAGCCTCTGCCTTCGGCTCAGGTCATGATCTCAGGGTCCTGGGATCGAGCCCCGCATTGGGCTCTCTGCTCAGCAGGGAGCCTGCTCCCCCCACCTCTGCCTGCCTCTCTGCCTACTTGTGATCTCTCTCTGTAAAATAAATTAATAAAATCTTTAAAATAAAATAAAATAAAATGAAGAGTACTTTTTTTTTTCTCTTCCAAGCTTCCCTTAAACCAATGAAATGAACATCTAGCCCTCAGGGCGCCACGCAGCTGCCAGTTTCGACACTCTGGCACAGAGAAATGCAGGCAGGAGCGCCTCCTCCACCCTTAGCCCCAGCCTCCAGGGAAGGCCGTGGCCCCATCAGAGAAGAGGACAGACGCCCCCCTGGTGTGCCGGGCTCTCCCTCCCAACTCCCCCTGGGAGCACAGAAGCTCCAGGGCCCTGGGACCGAAGGCAGAGGACGGTGGCACACCTGCCTTGTGCACGCAGACCCTCAGGAAGGACCGAGGCTCCACACGGGGCTGCCACAGGGAACATGAGGCAAAGGTTTTGGTTTTGGTTTGGTTTTTTGCTAAAAGCGTAGAACGTCACAAATGTCACCCATCACAGGGTCTCCCCGATGAGTGGGACCACCCGTGTGCCCTGCCCGCACCCTGAGGTCAGAAGGACATGCTGTCAGGGCTAGGGGACCCATCGGGGCTCGGGGACCCGGCGCGGCTCTTACCTCCATCGGCACCACCTGCATCAGGATGGCAAAGTTGGTGAGGTGAGTGCAGCGGCAGACGGAGTAGCTGAGGTTCCCCTCGGCGAGCTCACAGCCCTGGTTGGACCAGATGCCTTCTCCAGAGCTGGGGACACAGGAGAGAGGGGCAGCGGGCTGAGAGCGCAGACGTGCTGGTGCCCGTTAGAAGGACCGCGGGTACCCGCCCTGGACCCACAGCCCGGGAGAAGACACATGCTCGTCCTACGACCCACCAGCCCCACTTCTGGAGAGCTCTGAGCAGCGCGCCTGAGGACACGCCTGGTGGGGGGTGGGGTTTCTCGCCCAGGGCAGGTGACACCACGAAAGCAGCTCAGGGCCCGCCACAGGGCGCACACAGACGTGAGAAAATGCGGCACATCCAACGCAGACGTGTATCCACGGAGGGGGGAGCGAGGCCCTCGCACCTCCCATCCAGGGCACAGTCAGGCAGGACGCGCGCGCACGAAGCAGAGCGGGACGGCGTGTGCTTCGCAGCCATGGCCCCAAGAGACACGCGCGGTTCCGAGGACACCCCGACTGGCCACCTCCCGTGAGAGGGGCTGAGACCGAGCTGTCAAAGGGGTCTTTGCTTTCTCACAACATTTCACTTTTTTACAGAAGTGATTTAGGCCTTGTGTTACGTCGTGACGTCTCCGTCTAGCTGGAAGTGGCTGCAGGCAAACATGCTCAGGTGTTTACTGTGGTTTCATCCTACGCTAAGAACATCAGGGATCATCATCTGCTTCGGTGTCTCTCTGTCTTCTCAAACTCCCAAGATGTTTCCAAGACTCTTTCCAGAAACAACACCTTTGAGTTATCGGCAAAGGCAGACGTTCATTTCAGCCGAAGGCTGGGCCCTCGGGGAAAGCTTTTGTGAAGATGAGAACATTGAAGGGCAGTGCTTTCTCTCTGTGGATGCAGCCCATGAGGGATGTGGCCATCCCGGGAGGGTGCCGGTGTCCCGTGGGGGAGCACGCACTGGTGGCACTCGTTTCCACCCCCGAGGCGGGAGTGTCCCTGCAACGAGGATGACGAGGTGTGACTGCGTTCTGGTTGAGGCCTGGCTGCTGTGGAAGCCGAGGGGGGAGCAGGGAAGGGACAGTCAGCCACACTGGCTGCCGTACTCCATGCAGCTCCTCTGTCTGTCTCCCCAACGCAGACACCACACTTCCTTCCACTGGAGGCCCACCTGAACCCAGAGGGCGCTGGACCACACGGGCCTGGTCACAGGGATGAAAGACACATCTCTCCGTACACACAAAGCAATTAGGAATTAAAAACCAGGAAGGTCACATCTTCCCAGATGGAACCACAAAGGTGCGATGACACACGCATTCGCCTTGGCAGCTAGGCCCAAGGTGGCTCCGCCTCCTGTGGGGTAAGGACCCATTTCCCTGGGGTGAGCCTGTCCCTGAAGGCCTGCCACCGGAGCCAGGCCAGGCAACACTGGAGAACGTAAGACACGCACGACCCTGTGACCTAGAAGTCAGCGTCCGAGCAGAAGCTGCTCGCTTGCACACGAGACTAAAGTGTGGGATAAACATGATCAAACCCGACACAGCAGCTGAGGCCGTGTGGGCCGAGTACAGCACTGAGTGTGGTGGGATGGGACGAGAAGCACGGATCTGAACAAGACCACGGATTTTTGTTGAACTAATTATAACTCACACTGAAGTTATTGAAAAAACACCTCAAGCCGTCCGTGCTGCGGCCTCCAGAAGGGCGTGAAGAGGGGTCAGGAAGGGAAGACGGTCCATGGGACACTTGCTCGTACTTTCTAGAAGAGTAATGCGCCGGTGTATTCCCTGTACCACTTCCTAAAGTCTAAAGTGAGCCAGCATTCTCAGTGTAGTGAGAACATCTTTGAGAAAATAAAGAACATTTTCTGAGACAAACAGAAACTGGCAGCAAACTTGCGCTGAGGTTCAAGGAATATGCTGGACAGAAATTTCAATCTACAGACAGAGCAGCTGGAAATGGACGAGAGTGAAGGAAAGCGGGCAACTGTTGTCTTATTCTCAGTGTCTCTAACAGGCAACTGATCGAAGCAAAAATTCTAGCAAGGCATCGTGGGCTTCCGGCGTCTGCATGGTCCAGGGAGCGGCCAGAGTGGGACAGGGCCCGACGCTGCTGTGATGTTGCAGACCGCGTGAGGAGTGGTGTCCTATCACTGGAGGCAGATGCAAGGAACCAAAGACACATATACAGGGAGCCCTGGGACAGCCGCTACAGAAGATCACAGGGCAGCTTAGAGGTCAGTCGCAGTGAAAAAGCAGCGTTGTGACATATGTCCTGATTCCAAGTGACATAAGAAAAGAGAACACAGGAGACAAGGAAGAGATGAGGAAATTTGAAAACAGGCAGTAAGACGGCAGGTTTCCGTCCAAACACATCTGTGAGCACATTAAATGCCAATTGTCAAAACCCACCGGTCAAGAACAGAAATGCTCCAAAGGGATCAAAAAGCAAGATGCCACCACAAGTAACCTAGAAGAGACTCTCTTTAAGCACAGAGGTGATAAATAAAGAGGTTGAAATGTAAGGTGGGGACAGACACAGCACCCAAGCACGGAGTAAGGGAGCCAGAAGGGCTGTTGTCAAAGGTAGGCCAGGTGGGACTCAGAACAACCAATATTCCCCCCAGGAGAGGGACACAGAGCAATAAGGGTCAGTTTCCAAAAACACAGAATGATCCTAACTAGAAAGGCTACTAAAAACACACCCAAACCTGGAGAAATCTCAAAGGAGAAACAGTTCCTCACGACACGGAGACGTCGCCATCCTCTCCCGTGAACCAGTGGGACCAGCAGGCCAAAAGGTCATAAAGTCACAGAAAGCCCGACGAGCACTATCAACGTGACCTCGCCGGATGTATCAGACCCCGCCAGGAGCTACAGTCTTGGAGGAAGCAGGGCGTTCACCAGGACTCAACACAAGCTGGATCATCACACAGGATCTTAGAAACTTAAAAGGACTGAATTTTTTTAAAAATTGAATGTTTTCCTTCCTGTCTTCTTGTCAACAGAAATCGATCACCAATCAGGAGCGGAGAGATCTCTGGAAAATCCCCGAGCAGTCAGACTAAATGATGCATTTCAAAGCAGCACACGGCTTGAAGAGGAAGCTATGAAAAAGGCTAGAGAACATTTCATGAAAATGAAGGCCCCGTGCTGACACTGCAGGACTCGGCCCAGTCAGCATCCGCAGGAGACGCGCAGCCCAAAATGCCTGCATCAGAAACCATTGGGAGGGGGGGCACCTGGGTGGCTCAGTGGGTTAAAGCCTCAGCCTTCGGCTCAGGTCATGATCTCAGGGTCCTGGGATTGAGCCCCGCATTGGGCTCTCTGCTCAGCGGAGAGCCTGCTTCCTCCTCTCCCCCTGCCTGCCTCTCTGCCTACTTGTGATCTCTGTCTGTCGAATAAATAAATAAAAAATTAAAAAAAAAAAAACCGTAAGAGGGGGGGGCGCCTGGGTGGCTCAGTGGGTTAAAGCCTCTGCCTTCAGCTCAGGTCATGATCTCAGGGTTCTGGGATCGAGCCCCGCATCAGGCTCTCTGCTCAGCGGGCAGCCTGCTTCCCCCCACCCCCCGCCTGCCTCTTTGCCTACTTGTGATCTGTCTGTCAAATAAATAAATAAATAAAATCTTAAAAAAAAGAAAAGAAAAGAAACCGTCAGGGCCTCCGCAACTGCAGCCCGCGCCCTCAGCAAACAGCGCCCCTGATAAGCAGATGAGAGTAACTGAGGGACAGAGAGACTAAACCAAGCGCTCAAGAACAGAAATGCTGGGGAGAAAAACCAACAAAGCCAGAAGCCGTCTCTTTGAGAAAGACAGTGAGGCTGACAAATGTCCATTACGAGGGACCGCGGAGGGAGAGAGGGACGCAGCTGGCAGACACCCAACGTGGAAGGGGCGTGCACACAGGCCCCCCACAGGACCATGGGCGTAGGGCCACCATGGTGCTCACGCTTTAACCACACTGCGGACAAATTCTCTGAAAACCCAACTGTCCAAACTCACAAAGAAGTAGATGGCCTGAGTAGTTCTGTGGCAACCAAAGACATTCCGTGGTGGCCAGAGGCCGGCCAATGACAAAAACAGGCTCAGGTGGCCTCACTGGTAAGTCCGAACGAACGCGTGGGGAAGAAACAGACGCGTTCTGCAGAAACCGCCCGACCCACACCTTCCACAAGGGGACGGCTGCCCTGGTACAAAAACTAAAGATGTGACAAGACAAGAAAACTGTAGACCAGCGTTCTCCGTGAACACAGATGTGGCGGTCACCGCCTGCAGCGAGTGACGCTCAGATCACCTCGAGCAAGTGGGCTCTCGGGGACTGCAGAGCCGGTGCACACTCAGCCCCTCTCAGTGCCACCCAGATGCGTCCCTGGACCAGAGGGGGCTCCGCAGAACGCCACCCGGCAGTGAACGGTAGCAGGGAGCCGTTAGCACAGGCGACAACGCAGGGGTGTCACGCTCAGTGACGGCAGTCAGACACAACGCACACGGTGGCTCCGTCCACGCAGCACGCTTGCAGACGTGGAACCGTGTGGGTGGAAGACACGTCTGTGGCCACAAGAGCTGGAGTCCGAGGAGTGGTGGGGAGTGGGCCCCGGGATCTGGTGGGGTCAGGCACTGGCCTGCATCCTGACTGCGGGGCTGACACTGCTGGGCTCGTCTGTCCAAACCCCTAGAGCACGGGACCAGTGTGCCCATCTCCGGTGGGCGCTACCTGCTAATAAAGACGCCCTGGGGACGGGGACATAAGCGTCCTCATGCTGCACGCTGGGTGGTGGTAGCCCTGGGGGCTGGGGGCAGAGAACAGGAGGGGACAGAGTGTTCTTTGAATCATCTGTGATATTTTCGTTGTCTTATTCTTGAAAATATAAACGCGCTGATCATGACAGATTTGCGGCAACGGGCAAGTGGTTTTCCGAGTATTCTCTGTCCTTCTCTCTGCTCTGAAAATGTCTTCAAAAATAAGCGCCGGCGGCGCATTCTGTTGCTACCACACTCTGTCTGCCCCGCTCTATCCATAAAATATTTCCCTGCGGTCAATGCCCCCAAATTAGGATGACCATTTCTAGACGGACGTGTCTCTTCATTTTCATAATTTGCAAAGATATGACGGGCTGCAGCGGCCCAGCTCAGCCACGGCAAAACCACTACAATAAGAGCGCTGGCCATGCGCTCCGCAGGCGGTGGGACGTGTGCACTTAAGGGCACAGCCAGAGGAAGGCGCTCCCGGACCAGAAAGAAGTGGGATTTGCTGGGCACTAGGGGGGCTGGGCTGCACTTCCTGGCTGTGCGTGGAGCAGAGATGGGGATCAAGCGCACGGTCGCACCAGCTCAGAACCTCAGTCTGATCTCCTGGTCACTGAGAGTGGGGAGGAGGGGTCTTCTCTGACCCGCAGAGCCGCTGAGAAGAGCCCTGACCCCCAGCCCCGCCTGCTCCTGATTCTCTCTCATGCTCTCCTACAGCAGCTCTGTGGCCCCAGGCAGAAGGGGGAGGGAGGTTCTGCTTTCTATCTCTGGTCTGACCATGGGAGCCATTCATGGGGGACCCCGCTCATAGCAGCATCACCATTAGAACTCCATCAGGAGAAGGCCCCCTGATAATGGGTGGGGTGCCTGTGGAGATGAGCAGGAATGGGTGTCCAGCACAGAGGGGGACAGTGGATTCCAAATTCCTCGTGGAGGTGCGGAGAAGGACGTCCTGGTCTGTGCCCGTGCTCCCAGAGCTTCAGCGGGACTGACGTCAGTGCACCCCAGGGTGGCCACTGGCCATCGGGGCCGTGAAATCCTGAGAGGCCCGCGGGCCCACCAGGAAAGAGCAGCTCAGCCAGCCCCTCCCGGCTACCTCCCCAGTGTGACACCCAACCCCCAGCACAACCAGGGCCCAGCTCTCCAGGCTTTTGGCGGACCAGGTGAGTGTTCTGAAGCGTGCCCCCAGCTTTAGAGGCTGAGTCCTGCTAGGTGCTAACACGGCCTTCAGAGAAAACGTGACCCAGCACCCCCTCCAGCCCTCACCTGGGTCCCGGGATTTGCTGGGCGCTAGGGACAATGCAACCGCGTTGTCTCCAGAGGGGTGACCGGATCGTATCCCAACCAGGCACCGCGCACCCACCGCCCCTGCTCCCCTCCCCCCATCCCCGCCCTGGGGTCGCCCGCCGGCAGTACCTGAAGTCCAGGAAGGCGCAGTACAGGAACACCCAGTTGCTGCTGTTGGTGGCCTTGCTGCGCTGACTGTGGGACTGAAACGAAAGGGCGGAAATGCTTCGTGAGGCCGCTGGAGAAGCCAGGCTCCCAACACTGAGCTCAGCAGCCCACCCGCAGCCCCTGGGACCTCGGGGTGGTGTCTCAAGAGGCCACGGACTCTATCTCAGCTCTGTCGTGGTCCGAGAGCCATGGCATCCAGCCCACCTCACAGTCCCCTCTCCTTCGCCCACTCCAGCCTGGAAGCCAGGGCTTCTGTCTCAGGGCCTTTGCACTTGCTGTGTCCTCCCTTAAGACTGCTCTTCCCCCAAGACAACACATGCCCGCCCCCCCATTTCCTGTGGGTCTATGCTACATGTTAGTCCCAGTGGGACCTTCCTGCCCACTCAAACAGCACCAGCCCGAGCAGCCCACCCCTTCCTCTTGTCTATTCTCTTTCCAGCCTTGCTTACCAGGCAAGAGGACATGAATTCACATATTCGTTCGCTTGCTCTCTTCCCCCCTGGAAAGCATGCACAATGAACCCTTGTCCATCCTGGGCACTGGGCACTGGGCACTGCTATGCCGCTAGTGCCTGGCCAGAGAAGGCACACAGCAGGTGCTCACTACAGCCTGGTTGAGTGAGAGGACAAAGGAATGATCAAGCGACCAGATCAACCCATGACCTTGTTCCTAGGACTCTTGTTCTCCCCAAAGAGAGAAAACTCCAGGCCCTGGACTTCTCCAGGATGCCAGCTCAGGCCCGCCGCCACAGCTGCTCTGCCCGAAGCAAGTCACAGGGGGTCTGCCAGGGACTATAGCAGGAAACTCGGGAAGCCGGGGCTGCTCCTGGACACTCCGTGTCCCACAGACGCACAGTCATGAAGTCAGGACCTCTTCCGTGGCTGCCCACCATTCCCACCGTCTCATCTGCTCCTAAGACCCCACCCAGCTCCACGGTGGGGCTGCACGGGCCACCGTGGGAGTCAGCCTTCTGCAGGACAGGGAAGCAACGGGACGGTTCCCGCCACCTCAGCTCCAGACGTACCAGCTTCTCTTTCCTGGGACCCATACACGCCGGCAGCAGCCCCTGCGCCCACCACAAACTCCGTCCTCTGCTTCACGCTAGGACCACGGCTGGTAGTCCCCGAGTGCACAACACCGTGACATCAATGCCGTGTCTTCCTGATATCTTGGCAAAACACAGAGCACATGGAAGTACTCGCTGCATGAGTCACAGTGGAAATGCCACCTTACAGGCTGGCAGGCATAGTCCCTGATTTCCGAGGGCACGTGAGAGGACGTCCAGCAGCAGCACGGCCCACTGAGCGAGGCCGCAGGAGAAGGTGCGTCAGAAACCAACAGGCCGTCCTCTCTCTGTGCACATGCCACATCAGGGCACAGGAACTGGTGCTCAGGGAGACAGGTTCAGCTGAGCCTCAAACCCTAAAAGAAGCTGGAGGGACCACACAGCACAACCCCAGACTCCAGAGATCCATGGAAGCCTCTTTGCATCCTTACTCCATTCCCAGACTCTGTCCAAGGAGCCTGACACAGGACACCACAGAGTGTGGTTCTCCAAGTGCCTCAGCCAGGAGCCTGGCATGGCCTATCCTTTTGCCCCTCCAAGGGCAGAAACCAGGGCTGGGGGCAGGGACAGCAGTTTAGGTTTTCACAAGCCCTTGAATTTGAGAGCCACCTGCCCCTCCCCATCCCATGTCCCAGCCACTGTGAGCATCACGCTCAGACACAGAGACTACTCCTGCAGCCACTTGGGGACACAGGATGTTGTCAGCCAAGGAACCACGACACACACACCCACCAAATCCAAAGTACAGATAAGGACCAGGTGCTCGCCCCCACCTGGAATCGCCTAGGTGCCCTTGGCCCAAGTGGCCCTGGGCCTGCCCCCAGGACAACATCAGGGGTCACTGTGCATGGACAGGCATACCTGTGTGTTCCCATGCGACAGAAAGGCAGGTGGACACCAGCCAGGACAGGAGGGAGCCTGAAGCCGGGCTCACGGAGGACCGAGGCACTGAGGCCCGGAGGAAAGAGTGATGCCCACCCCCACTGACCGCAGTGTGTAGCCGGCTTGCCCCCCCTTCTTGCCACTGAGGACTCTCCCGGGCCCCCTCTGACTCCAGATCCACATTCATGGGGATTTAAAAATCAGCCCCGACTGCAGCGAGCCCAGCACGTGTGTGGTCGGAAGGGCGGAGGTGCAGGCGGCGCTCCCGGGGTCTGGAGCCAAGGTCACACCCCGAGTCGGGAACCTCCTGGCCTGGCAGCCGGGGCTCCTCCCGACGCGGAAACAGCAGACCGCCTCCTCATGTCTGGATGCGCAATCCAACTGGAACAGAGGCCCTCAGCACGTCTCCAAGAAAGGAGGCCTAGAATGTTCCCAGGAGCTTGAGTTGTGAACATATGGGAGTGGTGCAGCCAGAAAGAGGAAGGTGAGTCATCAAGTCATGGCCTGATTTCCCGGAGAAATGTGGGAGGCGTCGACGCCCAACGGCCTTGTAAGCGCAGGGACCAGGAAATGGGGCGCAGGGCAGAGCCGTCATCTGACCCCCTCCTGTGCCCTGACCCAAGGGGCGCAGGGCAGAGCCGTCATCTGACCCTCCTGTGCCCAAGAGGTCGACAGAGAGAGGGTCTTCAGCAGAGAGCTTTTCCTGCTTCCAGCCTCCTGTCTGCCCCAGCACACCTCCCTTAGGTGTCACGGCCCTGGAGCACCTCCTGTGGGGTCGGAGACTTCTTCAGACAACCCAAACGCTGGGGAGACGTCAGTGGGACTAACCAAGTATTTACTGTCTGCTGTTCGTAATCAAGGTACAGAAAGGCATCTGCTTCTCAGGAGAGGAGAAAAATCCATCAGATAACAACCTGCAAATGTTCTTTGCTTGGAAATCTGTTTGCTTTTCATCCAGGTATACGGTTTTTCCTACAAACACGGTGGGGAGAACTTGCCTGTCCCTACTCCCAAGCAAACACACAGAAGCCTCTATGATTCTCAATTCTGACCCTCAGCAGAGCACTGGAAGGACTCAGGGGCCCCACACCCGGTGCAGGAGGCAGGGGCTCTGGGACGTGGGCCTGCCCCCCTTGCCCCAACCCAGCTCATCTCACCACAGGCCAGGGGCCAGGGCTCTAAACGGCCGAGATATCCCACCGTGGAGGAAAGCAAGAAAAACGGAAGTCATGTTGGGAGACTGATGAGGAACCCCTTCAATCAGCCTCTGAATCCCGGTATGTGCGAATGTGTCTTATCTTGGTGAGCTCAGCAGGCGGGCAGATCCCCTCCTGACAGATGCTCACACGGGCCCTGGCAGCTGGGGCGGGGCCCCATGGAGGAGACAGCGGAGGAATCACCTCCAGAAAGAGGGTGGAGGGCAAAAGGTCAGACGGGGGAGGTTTGTGACTCAATGGAGCAGGGGCTCACTGTCCCATGCGGGGCCCAGCAAAGTGGGCAGCACGGGGAAACTGAGGACACACCCGCGTGCTGCACTCACCGTTCACCCCAGGCTGCGTGGGGACCACAGGCGCCCTTGTTCAACGTGTCAGTCAGGTCATCTGAGGACACCCCGAAGGCCCTGACCCAGGCCCTCCCCCCGCCTCCCCTGTCCAAATGCTGCCGGAACGCCCTCCTACCCTGACCTTCCAGTCACATGAGGTCCCTTTGAGCTGGACGTGCTGGACTCTGGTCTGTCCTGTCAAGGGACACATCCTGACCATATGATGTAGGCGCCCATGCGATGCCAGCATGAGCTCGTTTTTATCTTCAGGTGACAGCCCAACCCCCCCAACCTGCCTCTTCCGTGCACCTGCAGCTGAGCACAGCAGGAGGTCAGCATGTGCCAGGGCCATCTGGGACCAGGGTCAGAGATGCCACGGAGCCCTGGGGACCAGGAGCCCGGGGAACACGGGGCCCGCACATCTCTGAAAACGAGCTTGCCCGTCCTTCCTCTGTCCCTGTGGGATTCTGGGACCCTCAGGAGGGAGCGGCATTCCCCAACAGTGTCCTTCCCACATCCTCTGTCCTGAGGACTCGGGACCCTCCCCTGGCAGCTCCTGGGTCAGCCCCGCGGGAGAGGACACCGCTGGGACGTCACACAGGGGCTGCCATCAGAACCGCCTGCTGCAGCATGCAACCGAAAACATTTTCAAGTCCTCCCCCGGGGCCCAGGTGACCCCAAGTCCTGAAGTTCTCGGTGGACAAAGCACCAACAGAGCCGGACGGGACCCCGCGAGCAACACAGAGCAAACCCGAGGAGCCGTAAGGAGGCGGGAACGTGGGCGTGAGGGCGGCTGTGAGCTCGCTCTTGTCTGCGTGGGACTTGGGGGCGTTTCATCCCCATTTCATGTGAGTGAGCGGCAGAGATTCTTGCTTTTTAGAAAAGAAACTGTGCTTGTGTTGAGTGGCGTGGAGTCACAGACACGGTGCGTGTTTGCCGCTGCTCCCAGCGCTGCCACACACATTCGGTCCCAGTCCCGCAGATGGGGTTGAGGCTCCTTCCCGGCCCGGAGTGCCAGCATTTCCCTCCTCCAGCCCTGGCCCCTCTGGTTAACCACAGGGACACCAGGGGTCCCCAGAAGGCCCTACAGGGAAGGGCGGCCCCAAGACCCCGGTCTCAGCCCTCTCCGCCCTCCCCCTTTTAGTCCAAGACACGAGGCTGGCAAACACATCCCGACCGGTCAGAATTCAGACAGATTCACACAAGGTGCAACATCTTTCCTCTGGGAAACTCGGGATTCTCGGTTTGATTTCCTCCAATTAGAAAACATGCTCCTTAAAGAACCAGGTTCAGTGCTTAAGAAAGTGCCTTCTGTGCACTCAGAAGCCCGAGATACCACGGGGCTGACAGGGAGGCAGCAGCCGGACGGCCAGAGCAGGGAACCCAGGAAGACCCCGCATGGGGGCGGGAACGTGTGCAGCAGAGCAGAGCAGCTCCGGGAAGGAAGCACACTTGTCCCCACACGCGGCACCAGACCAAGCGGGGGCAGAAACCCACACACACCTCACCTGAACCCCACGCCTCAGACAGAATCGACCGGAGAC